CGGGAAGTTCCTGATTCACTCTCATTTACACATTGAATGAGCTCAGACTTGCTTCATGGAAGGAACTGTGCTGGGAACACCGGTCTCGGGTTTTTCATACAATCACTAAGAGCGGGAAAGGATAAGAAGAATTTCACCTATTGAGAACAGTTCATTCTTGGATTTCATCTATGGCATAATTCCCTGCTGGTATAGGTATTTTATCAATGAGTTAGGCAGCAAGCTCTGTATCTCTCCATTGAAGGCTGTCTTCACTGTGGATGCTCAATTGGCTCTGTACATCTCACCTCTGGAGCCGGGAGGTCTGCAGGAGAGGTGCTGGGGACATGCTCTGTGTGAGACACCAAGTCCTGCCACTGGCTCATGCAGAAAGCAGGACCTCACACAGAAAGCAAGTGTTAAATGGTAAAGATATTATTTTTATCTACTCTGGTCCTTAAAATGAAAGAGTTCTGTCTGCTCACGCCTTAGTTGGAGGTCCAGCCATCTTGCTGTCCTGTCTCGTGGGCTCTGAGCATGGCACACAGCCACCACCACTATTTCACTTTGTCTCCACTCCTCCCTGTTACCTGTAGCCAGAGAATAGACTTCTAAAGGTGATATCCATACAAGCAGATGGAAGTGATGGAGCCCAAGCAGCCCTGCGCTGGCTCTCCAGGTGTCGGGACACACCACTGGAGATGGAGGAATGCTGCAGCTCTAGTTGCCTGTGCTTTGGCCTGGCATAAATCAGCTGTGCTCCCTGAAGAGTCTGCCTGTCCTTCCACAGCTCCGGAGGCAGCAGCCCGTGTCCTGTCTGCCCCATTCCTCATCCCGCCTTCCCGCTGCACTGCCACTTATTATGTGGTAACTAAAAATGGAGACCCAGAGACTTGAGTGTTATTGTGAGTCACTGGTTCAGCTGGGTCCTTTATTATTATTAATGATGAAATACTGAGGCTGGGCTGCTAATGAGTCTGAGCTCCCTCCTGTGTGTTTATTTTTCTTCCCCCTTCAAACTGTCATTTCAGAGTAAATTACTTTTCCCTGCATCTTTGTCAGGCAACACTGTACCAGTACATCCACCCCCAGCTCACCCTCTGCTCTAATTTCAGGCTTATTCAGTTTCTCTGAATGCAGTTTACTAAGCAAAGTACTACATATCCTCCCATCTGTCTTACTTAAGTGGCACGATGTGCTTCAACAGCAGATAGAGACATCATTTTTATTACGCTCAGTTCTGGTTCTTGTTTTTGCTCTGAATTATTTACTAAGCCATTACAAAGGGGGGGGAGCTGTGGGGCTGGAGAGGGGAAAAAAGTAGCATTTTTAAAGTGTGGGGGGAGAAATAGCATATAATTTTTCAAGCATCAGTCAAAAACTCTGCAGTGATTTTCTTGCCTTTGTTCATCTCGTGTTAAACATCGTTTGTGTCAGGCAAACAACCCACATTAGATGGAATTTCACACCATTCAAAGCATCAGTGTCTCCAGCCTTAATGTGTATTATGTTCAAACATGCAACGTAATCCATCAAAAACCCCTGCAGACCTTGTGCTTTCTTCCAGATTTATCTGTTTGAAGCCTCCCTCTCCGTGTTCACAAGTAGCCAACCTTCTGGCGGTGGGTTTTTTCCTTTATTTGGATGCAGCAGAGCAGATTCTCAGGCAGTTTGTGCTATCACAGCTCCTCTGGCCGCTTGCCCATGGATTTAGCCTGGCAGAGGGGACTTGCCTGTTGCTGGCTGGAGCCTGCAGTTGCAGGTTTAACTGGGGGTGGGGTGGGGTGTGTGTTACCTCAGGGTCTGATCTAAACACAGCCTAACTGACCAAACCAGACTCAGCTCAGCTCTACTGTGGTGGTTTGCAGCGCAGGGCATCCAAGGCTGTCATTGCGCTCCTACTAGTGGAAGGGCAAAGGGAGAATGGCTTTAACCTGACAGAAGGGAGATCGAGATGAGATCTGAGGCAGCTCTTCCCTGGGAGGGTACTGAGGCCCTGGATGAGCTTTAAGGTCCATTCCAACCCAAACCAGTCTGTGATTGTATGATTCTGTTTTGCCAGGAGGAAAATACTCGTAAACGAAGCGCAAGCTTTGCAGCAAGAGCAGGCAGCTCCTGGAGGAGCCTGACCTGGGGCCAGCAGTGCTGCTGTTGTGCAGGTGTTGCCAGCTGCGACAAGGAGCAAACCAATGTGCGAAGGGAAAGCTTTTGTTTCATTTGCAGATGTTAATACAAGCAGATGGCGAAACAACAAGATCAAACCCACTCCAACAGGGAAGAAACTCTCTGTTTGATTTGAAACAGAAGAGCAGGTTTTTTCCTCTGAATACAGAAATAAGTGGTGCTAGATTAATACAGTTCTATTTACATTGAGTTAGAAAACATTACTTAACTATTAAGTTACAATTTAAAGAGTGGTGAAATATATACCTGTCTTCACTGAGAAGGTTTTCCTTTCCAAGCAATCTCCAGTGAATTTGGAATCCCTTCACACACAGGGAGTCTTTCCCTAGATTTGCTAGAAATCCCTATCCCTATTTCTGATAGAAGTAGCTGAAAATACTGTGCCATGTTTAATTCTGTTTTCCCTTCAGACTTGTTTTTTGAACCCAGCCTTCCCATCTCTGTTCATTTTTAGCAGTGCACAGCTTCATCTGTCAGCACTGGGTGCTTACCATTGTAGCGTACAAACATGGCAATTTCTGCAAATCAGAAAGCAAAGCCATTAACATTTGAAGTGGAACGGAAATTTGGAGTTTCTGCTCATTAAAGAGTTTGGAAATGTAGGAAAAAACAACTCTCTCCCTTAGTCCAAACCAAAGCTGCCAAATAATATCCTCTTATCAACTGCTATGGATGAATGGTGGCGTGTTTGCATGTTTGTGATAACGATAATGATCACTTTCTGTTTTATACACTGATCCTACGGACCAGGCAAATCTGCAACGTCTTTTTCTAAGCACTTTGTGTAAAGGAAAGGGTGCACAACCCAGTGAGAGGCACCGACCTTGCTGGAGGTTTTTGCATGATCAAGCATATCCTAATTGAGGCACACTTCACTGGAGGATGTCCTAGAATTGCCCCTTGCAAAGAGGGTGCCTTGTTACACGGCTCTCTCCACTCCTGTTTTGCAGAGGTGGATGCACATATGCTTAATTGGTCTCCAAATGTCAGGAGCAGTTTGCAGAAACCATCGTTAGTCTTTCAGCAAAGCTGCAGCTTCCCGAGAAGGGAGAAGGAGTAGAAGGGGTGTCGGGGGGAGGAAAGGCTTTGTTGGCCTTGCTGCTTGAGTGAAAGATCGTGCTTTGTGCTCAGAGGCCAGCTGTCTTCTCGCCTCCTTTCTCACAACTTTCTTCACACCTCTATGTGAGCTCTTGCCAGACTATCTCTGCGAGAGGGAGACGTGTTTGTCCTGGTGGTACATATGCTGCCGGCTCACGCGCATCCCTGGGACCTGCCAAGCTGCACCGGCACAGGTTTGGGGCCTGGTTGGATGGGGCTTGGAGCAATCTCCTCTAATGAAAGGTGTCCCTGCCCATGTCAAGATGTGCCCCATGTCAAACCAGTCTCAAGTCTACATTTGAACTATTGATGATGATTTTTAATAACCAGTTAAAATCTGCGAAAAATAGATTAGACCAGTCCTTGTTTGAGGGGGCAAAATATGGGCCATGCTTTTAGTAGCCTTAATTTCTACAAATCATTTCTTAATGAGGACTCCAGAAACAGGGCTTGTCCTCAGCGTGGTACAGGAGATGCTCCAGATGTGTCCTGGATCCATCGTACCTGCCCTTGATTAGGTCAGGGTAGATAATATGGGACTTGGGACCATGGTTTTAGCACATTTTAATTTCCAAGCTCAAAAACTTCAATTACATATTTTAATGTGTGTGATTTAGGAAAATATGGTCCATTCCATCTGCTTTGCATTAATTTGAATGACTGACTAAAAATACAGGTTGAAATATTACAGCTCCTAATAATTTCTCCACATGGCTGGCTCCTAATGGAGGGAGAGAAAATGAAGAATAAGGCTTTTCATCCATTTCCCCAGGCAAGCTTTGCCATAATCCTTTGATTTCTTTGAGAAATGTGTTTGTTTATAGGAATTTTATTTGTTTAGCAATTTCCTTCTTTTTTTCTAAATCTTTGCAGTAATTATTTCATATTCTAAAAATATGTAAAGTAATTTTATTCTTTAGAAAAAAATTCTTTTTCAGTGGTTTTAAAAGCTCTACTTTTCCCAGTGAGTTTCAGCTACTTTCCGAGCACCTGAGCCTGGCATCCTCCTGAGCATTGGTACTTGTATTGCCCAGAAGCCTCAGCTGACATTCAAGCCCCAGGATAACAGATCATTTTCTCTCATTTCCCCCAGTGCATTGTTTCTGCTTGACCTGCTTTTAGAGACCAGTTTGGCCACTGCCTCCTTGGCCTCATCCTCTGAATTGAGGCACTGATAATGGCAATGTCATTTGGAGTAGTGCCTGAATATCAGCTCTGGTTAACATCACAGGTTTAGCAGCAGATAAAGGGGTGACGCAGGTGAGAGTTTTAAGCTTCTCTAATTGACTTGGTTTGTTTTTCAAATGTACAGGTGCTTAAAATTCCTGTTAACAATTAATCATTATAATGTATGGAGCCTGCATGGGAATTGCTGTTGAGTCATGCCTGCAGGTGTATTCAAGTCCCTGCAGTTGAGCTGTAAAGTCAGGGAGCTGGGGGCTTGTGGGTGTTGTTGGTGGGGTGCTGTTTGTGTGAGTAGCTGATTTTCTGCTGAGGAGTGTAGCTCAGGGAGAGGTTTCCTTGCAAAACAGATCTTGGAGTAATAGATAGCTCTGAAAAGTGGTGAGGAAGAGGTTGGTGACTGAGCAAGGTGACTTGAAGCCTTGTGTTTTCTGCATCTGTGTTAGCCAGCAATGATTCTTCTGGGATGGAGCTGTCAAGGACTGAACTTATATTCTGTGAGGAAAGACTTCCATTCACTTCAACCATGTTACTGCAGGAGGTATGTAATTCTGCTTGTCTAATATTCCCTTTCTCCATGTTGGAGAAAGGATTGGAGAAGTTCTGTGGATTTTACCCTGGGCTGAAGTCAAATGTCTCTATGGAACATAATAATGTAGAATCTGAAACAAATTGGAGGGGTGTTGTGTCTCTAGGTGGCATAAAGTGGCTGCTCTGATGGATCACCCCATAAACTGCTTTGCCCTCATCAGAAGGTTCTCTGGGCTGTTGTAGCATTGCCTTAGGGAAGTGTCCATTAATCTTGGCAGAACACTGGAATTGTGTGGGTGACAAAGATGTTCAGAAATCATGATGCCGGATAAAAATGCAGTTGTCTTCCAGAACACATCATCAATTTGTCTTTGAGAGATTAGCTATAAGGAGAGAACTAGAAATAGGAAGGAGAAAAGAGCATAACACCCCAAACCAGCTGGGTGAGTCAACCTGGAAATACAGATCTGGTCTCAGTAGGACCAACCAGCCCTTTGTTTTTGGAGGTAAGAAAATATGCAAGGTCCATCCATTGTTACACTCCCAGTGCCAGAGTGAAGTGTGACTTGCTTTGTACTGGTACAGCTCCACAGGCCAATTTGAGTCCTACAAAACCTGGTTGCCTCCTGAATTCTGTATAGAAGTTGAAAGCACAGAGGCAGCCTCTTAATGTCTCTTTTCTGCCACTGTTTTAGGAAATGTGTGCCTATGCAAATATTTCACAAGCAATTTGGGACCACTCAGGATGAATGATGCTTTGTAAAATATGATTATCTTTTGTAATACATCACCAACTCGTACTGCAGCATGATTTTTAACTTCCCTCAGGTTCTATAGCTAAGAAAATAAGCAGAATACTGAGTAGGGAAGATAAGTTTCATTAACAACAACATTGACATTGCATATATATCTTATAATTGCTATTCTAAAGGTGAAATCAATAGCTACACTTACCCAAGGACTGCAACATTGCTAAGAAATCCCACATACAAATTGTATTCAAGATGAATGTTTCTGCAGGCTGGCAAGCTGCTGTTTGCATGAGTGAGCTGCCTGATCTGCTACGTATTACTCATAAATCTGGGAGGAAAAAAAGTTATGTTTAACTCCTTTCCTACGAAAACATGGGCATTAGATTAGTGAGAGAAGGCAAACATAACAGATGAAAGCTATTATTGCTGGCTTCAGTTCTGCTGATTTCATTCCTTGAATATTTCCAGTCTGCTAGCTTAGAGAATCCATCTATTTCTGACCTTAACCTTGCCACGGTATTTATTGTATTTGGGTAGGGAAAGGAAGAATACGTGAAACAAACAAGTTGGGGGTAGAAACAAGATATCTACACGCACATTCAGGAACCAGTGATCTCCTTCTCATTTTAGATGGCATATTCTGAATTTGTTAAGACACCAAAGCTCTGATGAGGTCAGTGTGAGCCTGTGACAGACGGCTCTGAGATGGTTTGGAATAAACCAGGATTTGTTGTTGCCATACTTGCACTGTGCCTGCAACCTAATAGGGAGATTCCTTGGAAGAAATGAGCACTTGTGACTCTGCAAAGTCTGATGGATGAAACCAGTGGACAAGACATCCTCAGCTCTGTTACCTGAAAGAGGAATGGGCTTGTGGATGCAGAGTGAGGGCACATTAAAAGAGCAGACCTGACTCATAGCAGCTGAGACATGGGGTAATACAGATATTCATCAAAGCTGTAGTCCGTGAACATCTATCACCCAGAACTTGGTACGATCATTTAAAGTGTACGTGTAAAATGGTACCGAGTTACAATGGTGAGTGTAAATGCCAACACAAGGTCAAGGCAATGCAAGTCTGTTGTGTCATTTGTTTTCAGGTGTGTTTAAAGTTGGGTGGCCATTTAATCTCCCTCTAGAGAAAGCAGTGATGTGGTCTGTGATGCAGAAGACTAAAAAAAAGCTGGCTTCTGTTTAGATTCAGGGTCTGTAGAGGTAGTGCAGAAGCAGGTGGAGATCTGCTGACCCACCTGCATTAGAGGTAACCTCTTCTCATCAAGCCCATGCTATTAATTGTCCATCTGTATGTTTTTGTTGCTTGAAACCAACCATGTTGGCACTTGCATAAGTACTGTTACTGCAATCAAAGACCTTGGGGCTTTTATTCCTATATATGGTATTGCTGGTAAATGTCATCATTTCTTGCATTGTGCAAATGCTGCAGTGTGTTATGTTCCACTGTTTCAAAAGTGAGGTTAGAATTACATGACAAATGGGATATGTTAAGTAACACTATTAAATGAAAACTAGAGTCACAATGAACAGGGAAACAACAACTGCAGATGAGGATGGAGAGGCAGAGAGGTGCTAGTAGCTGCATTTGCTTTTTGCAGCAAGAATATTACATCTTCATTTTTTGCAATGCAGCCCTTGTGATAGGTCTGTGTGTCTCCATCTCCTGCTGTGGTACAGTGTGTTCCCCTAAGAAAAAGCAGATGAAGCTGCAGTTACCTTTTCAAAACACCCAGTTCAGGTCTTACAGCTTTGGTCTGCATTGGCACCAACTCTGGCTCCAGTATCTAGTGATGGATGACTTCAAAACAACTTTTACTTGCTTCCCTCTCCTCTGAGAGCTGCTGGGTCAACTTATGAGGAGAGTTCCCAATATTGACACCAAATGAGGTTTGAGGTGGTCTGAACTTTTATGCCAGAGAGATGGCACTGGCCTGGATAGTAGTGTTCATTTCTGAAGTGATATTTGCCTTTCCTGATAGGCAAAAAGGATTCTGTCTTAGGGTGAAGATGTGGTATCCAGGAACTCAAATCAGGCATTTCAATTAGTTGTTCAGTAAAAGAAAGGCTGAATTCTGGCCGCAGAGATGTGCACTAACTTCTTTGTGACTAAAGCTGTGTTTTCAGATCTGCTTTGCAAGGGTCTCTTATTGTAGATGCTCTGTGTCAGCAGTGAGCCTGATCAGAGCCTCACTGGAGGAGTATCTTGTATGCTCTGGCTGATGTTGAGAGGTTCTCATTACACTCAACCTACCCATGGCTGAGTGATGTCCCAGAGTCATTTGTCACTTCCACTGAAGGGTTTGGGAGAAGATTTTTTGAATGGAACTGAAACGTGTGAGATAAACTAAGCCAATTGCTGGAATTCCTTCATCTTTGGGGAAGGTAATCATGGAGGAGAAGATGGGAAGGCAGTACATCCTGCTCAGAGGAGGCGTAGGGCTTAGCAGACAGAATGCATTTGTACTGGAGAATGACAGCTGATAATCCAAGAATTAAATCTGTGTTGGTGCTGGTACTTCTATACATGTTTCTCAGTGTCTTGAAAGGCTGATGATGGGGAAATACTGTCCATGGAGCTGTGGCTCCTTGTGTCTCAGCCTGCTATGAAGCTGATTTAGGCAGTCATTTAAGGCCCGTGCTCTCTTTCTTTAGCCACATCTGCCCAATTAAATTCCATGCACTGACAGTGATGCTTTCAAAAGCTGCGAATCAATTCTTCAATCACTCCCCATTCTTAGCTGTGATTAAAAACATGTGTCCCCTAATTAAGCTAACGAGAAATTGTTAATTGGCACAAAACCCCCCTTGGAGTGTGCTCATTAATGTCACCATCACTTTGACAGGAGAGGGAATATAAATGAAGGGCAGGCAGTCTTAGCAGGATTTGAAATGGGACTTGTGGGTACAGGGTCTGTGTGCAGGGGAGCAGCTGTCACTCAAGGGCAGGAGGTGGTGGGACAGGGCAGCAGCAGCCAGACAGGGATGCTGAGGTGGTGGTCTCTGCTAGTGCTTTCTCTCACAACACTGTGCCTGATTTGAGTCATGAAAGGGGGTGAAATAGTTAAGGATTGGCTTCTCGTTATTCCCACTTCTACCTTTCTCTTTTTTGCTAATATTAGAAGCAATGCCTGCCAGTGCTCAGAGAGGCACCCACTTGGTTTTTCCTGTGGAAAAGGTTAAGTTTTAGTTTCTCATCATTTGTGTTAGAGGCAGAGTACAAGATTTCTGTGGAGACCAAAGCCCTGTATTGGTACCGGCTCTGCGGACACCCGGGGATTGGTATTCCCTCAGGAGCCTGCAGTTAGGGAGCTCACTGGACGTTCAGGACTCTTCTTCTTCAGTGTTTTCCCTAGGAAAGAGTGGGCCTTGTCACCAGAGTGTGGAAACCCTGTGCAGATCTTTGTGACATAAAGGAAGCTTTTGAATATGGCAAGCTTAAAATATTCAGCATCTCTCTGGCTTGGATTTTCAGAGTCCTGGTAGAAATGTTGTGGATAGCAGCAAACCTGCTGCGAGGATGTGTGTGGCTTGAGCAAAGTGGAGAAGCAGGACTGCAAAGGGCTACAAAGAGGTGAAAGTAAAGGCCAGAAGAGCCGCACATTGCCCCAGCTGCCTCGATCTGCTGCTTGTTGGTCAGTAAATCACTCCAGTTTTAGTGCAGGAGTTGTAGGAATTGGCATCGAGGAGTCAGCATTGACAGCATGTGAGGGCAGTGATAAATTCCCTCTTTGGGAAGGCAGGAAGATGCTGGCTTTGGTGGTGGTTTGTTGGGGGTGTTTTGTGTGTGTGTGTGTTCATTATAGACTAAAGAGCAGCATGTGCATTATGGGAACAAGAAAGCACAAGATGGGAGAGGCATTAGTAATAAACATGTGGGCTGTGCCAGCAGAGAAACCCAGCCTTGAGTCAGAGCCTGTTCCTTCCTCTCACTTCTCATCTAAGCCAGGCTGTGGGATTAGTGCACAGCTGTCTGCATCTGCCTGGGTACACTTGGTTTACGATGATGCATTGCTTCAGGCGAGGTCTGAAGTCCCATTTTCCTAATTCTCCTCGCATCCCAAAGGGACATTCAAAGAGTCAATGGCAATGTTTGGCTGCACAGCTCAGCTCATCTCGGTGGCTGAAGGAATCCTAGTCCTGGCACAGCACTTGCTGCCATATGCAGCCTTGCCACTGATATTTTCCTTCATACTTTTTCTTCTCTGCATGTTCATTTGAGGTATTCCTGTTCCAAGCTCATGTTCTGTCCAATATACTACCCAGGCTGTAGCAGCAGGAGTTGCCTCTGCTGCTTGAATGTTTGCTAATAATGCCTTTCCATCTGGATGCTCATCATATCCGCTAAGTGTATTTGTCATTTCTTCCATCCCGTTTCCATTCTAACATAAATAACAGACAGATTGGAACCCACACTGTCCTGCAAATTGGCAGTTGCTATTTTGACCACACTGACTTATTGGGATATAATAATGTATGCTCTTTTAAGGTCCTAGCCTGCAATGGGTAAAGCCCAAGTGCCATGGCAAGTGTCTTTCAATGGTGGTGACATGTAAACACTTTACATCTTAGTCATGGGTCTGGTCTGTCAGTGGGGAGATGACACAAAGTGAAAGCACACTGCTTGTATCCTGGTGCTTCAGGTTGAAGCCTTGCTAAGAAAACCTATCAGTTCTCTGCCAGATGCAATCACCTATTTCTTTCCATGGCTTGATGCACAAATGTCAAAAGTAAAACCTTGC